TATCGCAGCGCCTGTCTTCACTGTCCTCCTCCAGGTCGGTCGATCGAGTGCGAGCTCCTCCCAGTTGGTCGGGTTGATTTGCAGGCATTTCAGGGAGGACTTCAGGGTATCCTTGTAACGGCGAATCTGGCCTCCTTGACGACGAGAACCCGTCGCGACGTCTCCGTAGAAGAATCGTTTGGGTAGTCGCTCGTCGTCTATGCGAACCAGGTGGCCGCTCCAGCGCAGCTGAATTTGCCTCAGTATGGCGTAGATGCTGAGGATTCCCGTCCGTTCCAGCACATCAGTGTCGGGGATTCGATCCTGCCACTTTAGCCTCAGGATGCGACGAAGACAACTGAGGTGGAAGTGGTTCAGACGACGCGCCTGCTTTACGTACACCGTCCAAGTCTCCGCTCCATACAGTAGTGTCGGCAGGATGACGGCCTTGTACATCTTCAGCTTCGTGCTCAGTTGGAGACCGTGGCGATTCCAAACTGTGCTTTGAAGGCGACCGAAGGCTTGACTGGCTTTCGAGATCCCGTTGGCGACTTCGTCGTCGATCTTGGTGTTGCGGGAGAGAGTACTGCCCAGGTACGGGAAGTTCTCCACCACTTGCAGTTGGGTTCCGTTCACGCTGATTTGCGGCGGTGCGTTGGGAGCTGTGGCAGAGTTGGTTGGCGGTTGGTGCATCACCATCGTCTTCTGCGTGTTAATGACCAGACCGAAGTTCTCGCAGGCGGCGGAGAACAGGTCCATGCTCCGTTGCATCTCATCTTCTGAGGTGGTGTTCAGGGCGCAGTCGTCGGCGAAGAGGAGTTCGTGAACGGTGGTTGTGGATACGCGCGATTTGAAGTGCATCCGCCGTTGATTCAGCAGGTGACCGTCCGTCCTGTAGGCGATGCGGATCCCGGGGCGTTCGTCGCGGTACGCGTCCATCAGAATGGCAGAGAACATAAGACTGAAGAGGGTAGGCGCCAGTACGCAGCCCTGCTTCACTCCATTGGTCACTGCGAATGCCTCTGAGACAGCTCCGTTGTCCGTGACTCGCGCCATCATACCGTCGTGCAGCTGACGCACCATCTGAGTGAATCGCTCCGGACAGCCGAATTTCTGCATGATCTTCCACAGTCCTTCACGATTCGCCGTGTCGAAGGCTTTCGTCAGGTCCACGAAGGTAGATTACAGGTGGGTCCGCATCTCCTGACACTTCTCCTGAAGTTGACGGGCGGCGAAGATCATATCCGTGGTTTCACGATGACGACGGAAGCCGCATTGGCTTTCCGGCAGAAGACCCTGTTCCAGATTCTTATTGAGGCGGTTGAGAAGGATGCGGGCGAAGATCTTCCCGGCGATGTTCAGCAGCGAGATGCCGCGGTGATTGTCGCAGACTTGGCGATTCCCTTTGCGCTTGTAGAGATGCACGATGGTTGCGTCTTTGAAATCTTGCGGGACTTCACCTTGACGACACATCTCTTGGAAGAGCGCAGTCAGGTGGTCAATCAGTTGGGGACCTCCGTGCTTGTAGACCTCAGCAGGGATTGCGTCCGATCCGGGTGCTTTCCCGCTGGAGAGCTGCTGCACGGCCCTGATGGTCTCCTGGAGAGATGGCGGGAGGTCGAGGTCCACGTTGGTCTCCACTTGCGGCAAACGCTCGATGGCGGCGTCGGAGATGACGGAGGGGCGGTTGAGGACGCCTCGGAAATGCTCGGCCCATCGCTGTAGGATTTGCGTCTTCTCAGTCAGGAGAGTGTTGCCGTCGGCGCTGAGGAGAGGAGCAGTGCCCTTCGTCGCCGGACCGTAGACAGCTTTGATCGCAGAGAAGAAGTTCTTCCATTCGTTGCGGTCCGCGTACCCTTGGATCTTCTCAGCTTTGCGAACGATCCAGGCGTCTTGCACCTCGCGCAGTCGTTTCTGAAGTTGGCGGCGACTGCGGTAGAAGGCAGCTTTGGTGGCATCAGTGGGGTGATCTACGTAGATTTTGTGTAGGCGGTTCTTCTCAGCTAGCAGATTTCTGATGGCGGCGTCGTTGTCGTCGAACCAGTCCTGGTGTTGGCGGGGAGCGCGACCGAGGACGGTGAGCGCCGTCGACTGGACCGTGTCTCGCAGTTAACACCAGTGGTTCTCCACGGAGGCGTTCTCGGCAGCGGCGGCGTCGGCGATGGGCAGGTTGTCTAGCCGTCGAGCTAGCTCATTGCTGAAATAAAGATGGTGAGCGGGCAAAGACAACAAGGCAACATTCAGCTTACCTGGGGGTCGCTTACCTTGTGGTCTCCTGCGAGGCTCTAGGCGAATACGCATCTTCGAGATGACGAGGCGATGGTCGGTCCACCCGTCAGCACCCGCGATCGCTTTCGTCACCAGCACGTCCCGCTGATCTCGCCTCCGGACGAGGACATAGTCCAGCAGGTGCCACTGGCGCGACCGAGGATGCCTCCAGGTGGCCTTCCCTCGCTCCGTCAGACAGAAGAAGATGTTCGTCAGGATGAGGCGGTGTTCTGCGCAGGTGCGGAGAAGCAGCAGACCATTGTCGTTTGAGCCGCGGAGGCCGTGGGGACCCAGCACTCCTCTCCAGGCAGTATGGTCTGTGCCGACGCGGGCGTTGAAGTCACCAAGGACAATCAACTTGTCCGCCTTCGACACAGTCGCCAAGAGGGCGTGCAGGTCCTCGTAGAATTTGTCTCTGACGGCGTCGGGGTTGGTCATCGTCGGAGCGTAGGCGCTGGTGATGGTGGCGAATTTGCCTCCTCGCCGGAGAGGCAGGCGGAGGCTCATCAGGCGATCGTTGATGCCCTGCGGCAAACAGGGCAGTCGTCCCACGATGTCGTTCCGAATGGCGAAGGTGACACCCGCGTCCCGTCGCTCTGCCCTGGGTCGGCCACTCCAGAAGAAGGTGTAGCCGGCACCCACCTCCTCCAGTTGGCCTTGTTCGGAGAATCGGGTCTCGCTGAGTGCGGCGATGTCCACCTTGTAGCGCGCCAGTTCTCGTGCCATTAGCCCATTAGGTAGGATGAGGAGCTTCTCCATAATACACCGAGTGAGTACTTATTACGTATTATGCGCATGCCCACATGGCTTAAATTACTGATAGCAACGGATTTGAATGCAGCATAAGAACAAATCGGTACCGTAACGTCATTTATATCAATTAACATGCAAGCTTTGCCCAGTCTATTCTGAGTCAAAAAAGAAAATTTCGGTTTTTTCCGGCACTGCTTTTCCTAAGTTCCGTAGCAAGGAAACATATTTGGTTTCCTTAGCTCTATACCCTTTTAAGCACCTCACATAGTGAAGGACGTGCAAGAGTCCTGCTTGTAAAAAGTATTCGAGATGATGCCAAAAAAATCGTCCATAACCAGGGAAGTTTTTTGCTGATAATTTAAAATTATAAGCAATTTACCAATTAGTAATATAATAACACCAACTCTTAGTAAATGGTTCGGTGGGAAATCTATTTAGTAGACCATTATTTCCAAACTTGTATTGAGGCCGGCACGCGAAATCATCCCATCTTCTGTGGTTGTGTGCGACCACAGTTCTAACCTCGAAATCGGATTGCTCATGTGTGCGAAGCGTTCTCAAATACACCGTGAGATCTCACTGATCAACCCTGTCTCGGCAGCGTGTGAAGTTTTCTTAGGCAATGGCTCTAAATTCAGTTAAAAATTTCATGTCATCTTCAACTAATAGGTGGCTCAGTGGATTTAATCGATTTAAGTTTCTCATGTATATAGGTCTATAATTGATTTTCGGGGACTCATTTGTAGTCCGATGACGCGGACTTTTGGCCTTTCTTAGACGTCGGCGGAAGGTTCTGCTAAAAAACTCCTAAAGTTTGTTTCTGTTCACTGGCTAAACGTTGGCAGAACCTTGGAAAACCCTATTTACAGATAGATGTATGAATATTATACACATATTTTATTTCAATATCTGAACAGTAGACTGAAAAATAAGGACCCGGTCGCGGTGCTGAAGGATGATAATGGTGTAGAGATCATTGAGAACAACGAGAAAGCCGAACACTTAGGACAGTATTTTGCCTCCGTTTTTACTAGAGAAACTGAGTTTCGCTGTCGCAGTACCGGCAATGCTCTTGAGACTGTTGGTCCCGTGCTTGACTCCATACACTTCCCGGCAGCTGCCGTGGAAAGGGAGCTGAAAAATCTCAAAGAAGCAAAGTCCTCGGGTCCGGACAATATACCGGCCAAATTCTTGAAGGAACTGGCGAATGAACTTTCCAAACCACTGGCGCACATCTTCCGCTCGTCATTCGAATTAGGGAGGTTGCCATCGGAATGGAAGACAGCAAATATCTTTCCGATATACAAGGGCGGGGCTCGCACTAATGCTAACAATTACCGGCCTGTTAGTCTAACCTGCATCTGCTGTAAAATAATGGAGGCCATAGATAAGAAAGCAACTATGGAGTTCCTGGAGCAGGGCCATTTAATCTCAGACCTGCAGCACGGCTTAAGACAGAACCGCTCGTGTCTTTCCAGTTTATTGCTCTCGACGGAGCAGTGGACTCGCGCACTGGATGAGGATGGGAGGGTTGATGTCATATACACAGACTTAAAGAAGGCGTTCGACAGCGACCCACACAAACGCCTTATCTACAAACTTTCTGAAATTGGGATAAGAGGAAGGCTGCTGACATGGATAACAGATTTTCTTACCGGGAGATCGTAAACCGTGTGCATTGAGGCCTCAAGGTCAACTCCGACTCCCGTTTTAAGTGGTGTACCCCAGGGCTCCGTGTTGGGTCCGTTGCTATTCCTGGTTTACATTAACGACTGCGTCGACGACCTGGGATGCAGCGCCATCATGTTTGCTGACGATGTTAAGCTGTGGAGACCCATCAGATTTGACACAGGCAGGTACGCGCTTCAAGACAGTCTCAACCGCCTAAACAGTTGGTCAGCTCGCTGGCTCCTCAATTTTAATGTGGACAAATGTGTGGTCCTAAGACTCCGCACCAGACAGACCAGTAAGGAGGACGATTCCTTTCAATATGTCCTTGGTGGTCAGTCCCTTTTAAGTGTTGTGGAACAGAAAGACCTGGGAGTCCTTATGACCTCCTCGCTGAAACCATCTTCACAGTGTCAAAGGGCAGCCAAAAGTACGATAAGGGTGTTATTTGCGCTGAGGCGAGGATTTGTGCAGATCAACAAGGAGCTGTTCGGAAAAACCTATGGGGCATTCGTCCGGTCTCACATAGAGTATGCAGTCCAGGCCTGGCGACCGTGGTTAAAGAAAGATTATCAACGACTGGAAAGAGTACAGGCGATGGCTACAAAGATGGTCAAGAATCTTCATCATTTGCCTTACGAAACCAGGCTGACTGAACTAAATCTGTTTCCTCTAAATTACAGGCAACTGCGCGGCGATCTCATTCAAACCTACAGGATTGTCAGAAGCCGTGAGTGTGCCCTAGACTTTTATGAATTCTTCGAATTGGCCGGGACTGACCGTCTGCGTGGTCATCCCTTCAAACTGCAAAGGAAGCGGGCTCATTCGGACGTCCGACGGAACGCCTTCTCACACAGGGTCATCGGGGCATGGAATGGACTCCCTGATGCCGTCGTTCTTTCCGAAAGTGTTAAATCCTTTAAGTGTAGACTAGACGCTCACTTGTTGAGAACCTACTGTACATACAATCATGATTGTTTTAGCGGCGGCAGTTTGCGCCTGGCTCACAGTTACCGCTGACTTCTTAACTTTTCGCATTTGCTGATGTTTTTGATGACTTTATTTCTGTTTATCGACATGAAAAGGTTGCTCAAGGGCGAAAGCCTCATTCCCTTAATAAACTGACTTAAATATTTATATAACAGTTATTCCAGCCATTTATATCGAGTAACTGTCTGACTATCAAGCATAAATTTATCAAGTCTTTTTTTTCGAATGTCTCAACGTTTTCTGCCAAGAAAACGGAGTTTAGCAATCTGTCCCATCCATCAACAATCTGGTGGAAGAAGAATTTGGCCCACGCTTCAAGTCGGGCATACTTTATCTTCAATTTGTATTGGTGGCCTCGAAGATTAGTCGTTCGCGCCAGTTCGCAGAAGCCGTCAAACTGAAGAGCACAGTCTACGCCTTGGAAGATCCTAAAGGTCATGATCATACGCCTCTGTATCGTCCATAAGAGAGAGGAAATATTTTCAGCTTTTCCAGGCATCTCTCCTAAGGTAAGCAACTTTACCTATCGACCAGCTTGGTTGCTCTTCTTTCTACTTTCTTCAATAGGGTGTGATCTTCTTTCGTCCAGGGACACCATGCCTGAAAACAATATTCCAGCATTGGTCGAACAAATGTTCCAAATATTCGGCCGAAAAGTTTTTCATCAAAATTGAGGAAGGATCTTCTGATCGCGCCTAGGATACCCATAGTCCTCTTTGATACCTTGGCGCAGTGAGACGATAGTTTGAAAGTTGACGTCATCCACAACCGAGGTCTCTTAACTGCAAGTAATCGACGATTAACTGTATCGAAAAGTTTGTTGAGCTGGAAGAAGACGGCGTCCACTCAGATATATTAGTCAGGATTTTTAAAATGGATCTTCATCTTAGTCAATATGTCGGCTGGACATCATTTTTCTTTAAGGCTGTGTCCATAAAAAAGTGAGTGCTTGTGTGCACATGCCTGCTAAGCAACGCAGCTGGCAGGAAGTTGTTTGTCAACCGTAAAATAGGATCTTTGTTAAAAAAAGTTGTTTAGGCTCTTCTCTGATCCTTCGGAATTTCAAATGTCCTCCAGCTAAATTGCAACAAATTAACATGGAGGCTAGCTCAAACTGCGCGAAAGGAACCATAGAAAGTAGTGCGAACAGCCGTAGAGCATTATTCGTGTTCTTACGATACTCGGTTTTAAGAAATCGTTCAGCCCGGTGGGTGTGCTTCCGAGAGTATGTTTCTTTTCCTTAAAGGAATGGCCGAATAGGGCAATGTTGTCAGTAGGTCATGACTATTTGACCGTAAAGTGCCTAGTCGGGGACGACACTCTCGGTTTTCGTTGACATTAATGATGGAGCACTTGCTCTTATTGGACAGGGCAATATTACCGCCCACATTTTTTCTCCTTTCGACACTAAGACCGTCTCCTTGTTCTTTAACCTACTGTTTATGCTCTTCAGTTACATCAACAGTAGGTTAAAGAACAAGGAGACGGTCTTAGTGTTGAAAGGAGAAAGCAATGAGGATATCATCGAAAATGACGCTAAAGCAGAACATCTAAGCCGGTTTTTCGTATCTGTTTTCACCGATGAAACGGACTTTGACGAGGCTGGATTGCCTGCTAGAATAACCGACGAAATAATAGAAAACATCGACTTCACGGAAGAAGATTTGAGGAAGGAACTTCTAGCGCTTAAGGAGGGTAAGTCTCCGGGTCCCGACCAAATTCCGGCCAAAGGTCTGGAGGAATTGTCTTGCGAACTCACCAGACCGCTTTTGCACATCTTCAGGTCGTCCTTTGACCGAGGCATTCTCCCCTCTGATTGGAAAGCGGCGAACATACACCCCATTCACAAGGGTGGATCTAGAACAAGTGCAAACAATTATCGGCCGGTGGGCCTATGTGCATTTGTTACAAAGTCATGGAGAGAATAGTCAAAAAAGCCATAATGAAGTTCCTTGAAGAAAATAATTTCATTGCTGGTTCCCAACATGGCTTTCGACGAAATCACTCCTGCCTAACTAATATGCTTCATTCAACGGAACAGTGGTCTCGCTTGTAAGACGGAGGAACAAGAGTCGATATCGTTCACATCGATTCCAATAAGGCCTTTGATAGTGTTCCACACCACCAGTTACTTTACAAGGTCCGAGACTCATGGATAAGGGGAAACTTATTAAACTGGGTAAAGGACTTTCTGACTGGTCGATCGCAATCTGTGTGTATTGGTAGCGCGAAGTCAACGCCAGTGCCAGTTGGGAGTGGAGTTCCTCAGGGCTCTGTACTCGGACCAGTACTGTTTTTAATTTATGTCGACGACTGTATAGATGGACTGGACTGCAATGGAGTCATGT